GAATATATATTTTACCTCAAGTCCTCCAAAAAGATTGAAGACTTCTGAATTGATTACCCGGATTTCTTTTTGTATGCCGGTACCGGAAGGATATTCTTGAAAACCTTCATGGCTTAAGAGACTACCAATATCCTGAAATAAGACATTCATGTCTGAATAAGTATTTAATGTACCTTTCCTGACATTTTTGCTGAAGGGATTTACTGAAAGTAAAAATCATAATACTGGGGTTTCAGTTGGCCCATCAATCCATCTTTACAGTCACTTAGTGACTTTCACCACCTGCCCATCAACGTACATCTGCCAGCTGAGTGGGTGTCATTGTTTACAAATCGGTTTGTAAACTGTGTTCTTTCTAACCTTTTATGTGCTATTATTTCAAGAGTCGCAACAAACAATAATCCACAGCAGAATGTATCATATGTTTCAATCAAGGTTGTCCTTTTCAGTTAAAATGTTCCAATAAGAAAACATTTTATGTGCATTTTCCTGAAAACATGCTATATATTTCGGATTGTGGAGAATGCTGTTATGGTTAACATGTAATTCAGAGTGAAACTGGTATTAAGAGAAGGGATTGGACAGTTATTTGAACAGACGTTATAAATTAAACACTTGGATGATTTTTGACAACTAAATACATTTTTTGTTAGAAAGCCATCTAACATCTTGAGTTTACTATGTTAAATCTGTGATTATTGCCAACAAATTCAACTTGTGGTCAAAAGACTATATTACATACAAAACACCTAAAATGCCTTTTCAGCGAAAATTAATTAATTCTAGCTAATAATAAAGTATTTTAGCAGTACTTGTATCATACAAATAAGTTGTTAATAAATAGAAATACACACTCAGTTGAAAAGTCCTGGGTTGCAAATCGTGGTGGAAACTTCTGTCCACATAATATTAGCCAACGTGGCTAAAACTATTGTTTCATGTCAACTATTATTATTTTCTCTGTGGGCTATTGCAAACAGGGGGTGGGACTATTCAATGCAGATATTTGAATATGGTGTAAGTGACACTTCACTCTGTCACACTTCCGGATTATGCAATCTACGAAACTGCAAAGTAAACATACATTGTACGCGCAAACAAGAGTCTAGTTTGAGAAGCAACATGAATTAGGAGTGTATGGAATGCCATCTCTAAATCTTAGAGCCTGTTTCTAATATTAAAACTGTACGACGGCGATCATAACATACAAAATCTAGTGATTGTAAATGGAACACAAGTAACAGTTACAGGCAAGATTGCAACTCAGCTCGAAATGACGACAAGCACGCCACATATATTTACACTGTACACATACTTTTAAAATACTGGGGATTGTAGGGTCTCTACCCCTTGTTGAATCTCGACTAGCAGGTAATGGTGTGGGTACGATGTGTCCAACACCGTTTCCAGACATATTGTCCAGCCGTCGAATGTTTTCCGGGATTCCCTGGTAGCCCTGCGTAGTAGCTCCGATACGGTCCTCTGCACATTTTATCAATTCGTCTGGAAGCTAGGATTGATGAAAAACGTAGAAATGTCATTAAACAGACCAATGTACGAATTGTAGAATAATACACGATGTTAAAATGAACAACGTAGAATCAACTTTAAAACTTACCATCCTCGCATTCGAGAACCCACGGCCAGTAGCCTGTGCTGTAATAATATGCTTCATAACATTGACCTTGCGCTTAGGTTTAACCACTTTGCCGATTGACGTACTCATCTTCACGACAAGCAGTGGATACGGACAAAATACTCCAGTCGGATCTGTGCATGAAACGCCCTGATTCCCCCAAAACTGGATGAAATTAACACAAATCTGCAGAGAGACAAACTTCTATACATCGACAGAAAACAAAAATGGCTGACACTACTCATCTGATTGATTGTCCAATCAGGTAGCTAATTCTATTCACGTGATCTCAGTAGCATTTCCCAGCGCGGGGACTCCGTTTACTTGCAAAGCGGAAGTAGAACATTTGCCTACAGTCCCGTATAATAGACAGTCCATCTGATCATGGAAGATACTAACCGCTAGTACCTTCCATGATCTGATCATATACTAGTACCTTAGAATATATATTCTATATATGTATAAGCACAGTCTTCTTGTACTTGTGAGTGTCTTTATTAGTGATTAGCTTTCAAAGTTGAGAATTAAGTGTTTTATGTCATGAACTAATATACCCATGAGCTATTAATTAAAGAATTTATTATATAACCTGGACAAACGAAATCGATATTTTCCCTCATTATAATGACAACATGTAACTTCATGCGGAAATCCTAATAAATGAGATATAAAACCCACAACTGGCGGTTTAGCAATATTACTGATACCAAAGTTACTTGAAACATTGAACTACCAGTAATACAAATAATACAATTATAAACAAAATACAACAACATATCACTAGCACCTGTTTTTGTTGTTGTTTTTTTATGCGAGTTTACAAGACGTGGTAGTTTAACATGCAGACACTGTACGTTATCTTAAACGGATTGACATTAGTTTGCTTAACGTTGTACATAATACTAGTCGCATTTTTTGGTAATTCAACTATTCTCTTGTTTTACTAGAATAAAATGTGAAAACATTGTTTCTTCTAGTTCCCTTCTATTGGTGATTCCACGAACACCTCAAAAATGGCCACGTATTATTTTTGTTATCAAATAGGAACAAATATTTTCTAAAAATAGAAAATAGTTGATATTGTCACAAGATGAAAAAATCTTAGAAAGAATAAACGAAGATACCTGCATACCAAACATTAACTCAATTGAGCTTGTAGTTTTCAAGACGTCGTCGAAAGTAGTTTTGACCAATCTGAGAGAGATCCACCAAAGATACTTGTATACTAAACAGCAAACACTCAGGCTACTGGTTTTCAAGAAGATGGATGTGCAATTGTTGGCGGTCGGACGAACAACAGTTAATCAGTATATCATCAGCTTCGTCGCTGTGTCGATGGCAGCGGATAAAAAACTTGTTATAATCAATGGTTATTTTGTCAATAAAATAATGTAAATGTATAATTATATATTTTCAGTAAGCCAATCCTAATCAAACAATACAGCAACGTATTAGACATGTTTCCCATTGCGACATAAATAGTGTTTGGCTGACTATGTACATTCAATATTATTTCATCAAATTGATTTACAACAAACCATGATTATCCTTGTTTTACCATGTATAGTATATTTCTGTTATTTTATCTTCAAACTCATTGTTTTTGGCACCAGACAAGTCGTCACTATACATGTAATACTTATTTTAATAACTTGGTTCTACATCAGCTAAAGTAATGTGCCATTTATGTTCGAAGTAAACAGGACATTCCCAAATATTTTAACAATGACATGTATAGGCATTAATATCTACACTTTGTGCAAGTGTACTCGACAAGCATTGTTCTTAGTAGAATACTGGGAAGTATATCACATCGGAACTAATATCGCACGTTGTTTCGTTCATGTGCGTCACACACATACCCAGAAGATTCGTGGCAGCAGAAGAATTGTCGCACTGAAATGCATGCAAGAAAACTGAAATGCGTGTAATGCATGTGCTGAGAATAATCATGGTGGACAACAGTAATTCAACAGGAGCGGTTGAACGGGTTGAACAGAGGATTATTCAATGTGTGTCGGAGATTCATAATATATATTTGTGTTTGTTTAGTATTACCATTATTATTTTTATTTGCATGTCATTCCGTTATAGTAGTTAATTTGTTTATCTTTTCGTATGAAGGATTCTTCTGAGTAATTCTCGACCAATGAGAATCATTTAGTTTTAGTCAATGAGCGCTTACATATTTTGTTACCAATCACCTTACTTGCTATTGCATCTTTTTTCTCCCGCGTAATTTAATCATTTGTATTTCCCTACATGTTTTCTCTCACGGTAGATATGCACCTATATAAAGTGCTAGTTTCAGAGATTCGGGGATTCTTTAATGTGTAAGGTATTACTATGTCTGTTGGTTAAGCAATAAACCATACCGTGGTTTTTGCATCTACATTTGACTGCTGTTTATTCTGTGACCGAGAGGACTAATCTATACCCCACAATGTGTGACATTGTTTGATTCTTAAACACAAATCATCAAATATATTAAAAAAATGTAAAATGTAATCAGGAATTTGTTTTATCTGTAAAGTGTAAAAACCCATTTTTTACGAAATGGAACTTTCATTTTATTTACTGTAAAAACGTAAAATGCCTTTTTTATTTTCTGTAACCTGTACAAGTGACCCCCTCTCTATTCTGTGATCCAAAACGGGAATGACAAATGAAATGTACTTCATACGCCTTCATCTCACCAGTTTCATATTTTCTACATATTCGGTTTTCAATTTTAGGTTTTCCCCTTCTCCCTATTTCAAGTGTGATCACTTAAATTTTGACAGTAATTTCCTTAGATTGAAGTTTTAATGTCTTTTAAATAATTATGGTAAAGAGTGACATCATCATGTGAGCAGGACGGAAGATCCAGTTTGACCCCATTCATTAATTCTGTCCTTAGGAATCGTTTTAAAAAATATTCGATCAGGCAGCTCTATCCGTGGCATTATCACGGCGAAAATCTCTTCTCCCTCTGGGTTCTCCACACTTGTCAGGGGGGAAACTCGTCTCGTCTCTCTATCTCGTCCCCTTGAGGTACGGGATCGGGGAAGTCACTTTAACTTTACAGTCAAATAAGACACACACAACGAAATACGTTTCAGCTCTCGTCTTAGTCGGTCAAACGAGCACTCTATAAGACACAGCGCCCTGGGGAAAAGTCCCCAGTCTCTCTTAGACTGCGTCAACACTCGCCCCAAGGCTCTCCAGGACTGGACCACGACTCTCAGACTGCACTTTCCTACTGCGTCTATCGTGCTGTGCTCCCCAAGACCAACTCAAACTCTCTTTATTCATTTTCACAACTCTAACCAATTACAAAGCAGTAAAAAGACTCTAGGGCGTAACCTTCAATCATAAAGCCAATCACACTAAGTACTGAATACGTCATATCTTTTGATTAATCGTTCACTACATTAATAACTAAGGAATACCAACTGTCAGAATCGCGACGGTTATCTGGTAATTAGTTCCAAATCACTGAGCCAAGTTCCGTCCAAAACTTCAAATAGGCCTAAACGATGACAGACATAACACAGCAATTCGCTAATAATCAGCTAATTAAGTCGGTCAACAGATAGCAAAAACAAATTCATGACAGCATTAAGGTTAAAAATGACCTGTATCCTGACGGATATAGCATCTGTAAATCGCATATTCTCCACCTTGAAAAGTCTCAACTATATTCCAGGCTCACTGTAAACATGGACAATATGGAAGCAGTGGCTGTGTACAGATATACCATCCGGATGAAATGGCCAACGTCACTTGTACAAATTATAAGCACTTGCTTTTCCTGTGATGTTTATGATAAAACATTGCCTCACTTTTAGGTCTTCACATGGCCTAACTATTGTATGCGAAATTCAAATTATTAAATTACAAACAATTAAAAATAAACAAGATTTGAAAGTAATTAATAAATTGATTTATAATTGTATATGAAGTGGCTAAGATAAGCTGGCGAGAAAAATATTGGTGACATTGGCCAAGAGAGATGAATTAGATTATTGTGATGGAACCATTAAGTGGACCTGATGTGTTACAAGACTTCCTACTAGATTAGTGTGAT